CCCCCCCGCCACCGGGGAACCCCCGTGCTTGGGTTCACAGGGGTTTGGTGACCCCAGAGCCCTGGCATGTCCCTGTGTCCCTCTGGACACACGGATGGGGAGAGGAGGGAATCACTCTTCCCAGGAATGAACAGCCCCCCCATCCACCATGGGGTGTAGGGATGGAGACCCCAGTACTGCCAAATCACCCCCCACCACCACACTGTGGTGGGGACAGCAGCTCCCCTTCCCACCCCACCAGCTCAGTGTGGGGTTTGCCCCATCTGCTGCAGCCTGGATGGCTACCGAGCCGGGCCCCGGGCTAGCCCCAAGGCAGGGGGAAGCTGGGAAGGAGCAGCAGCGGGGCCGTTAGCCGGAAGCCACGGGCTGCAACGAGCTGCTTCAGCGGCGCCTGCGTCTCATCCGGGATGGCTGCCAGGGCTCCCCGCTCCCCGGCTGCTCACAGCACCCCACATCCTACGCTGGCCATCGGGGCCCCGACCCACAGCACGCTTCGTTTGGGAAAAGCCCAAGCATGGGGATACGGGAGAAGTCCCAGGAGAGAGCCAGGGATGTTGCATTACCCAAAAACTCACCCCAAAAAACTCCATCCGGACCCATGTGTTATGGCTGCCCAAGGTCTTCATGGTTACAAGCACCACCCCCAAGCTCCCTCTGATTTATTTTCCCTGGGATACCCAGCCCCTCTCCCCCACGCCAGGGCTAATATCACAAAGCCCCCAGCCCCACTCACACCACTGGGATTCAGGCGTGCAGGGCTCCAGCACAGACCCCTGCCCCTCACGGCTCTCCGGGCAAGGCCACGTGTGGCCGTGGGAGGTCTGATGGCAGAGATGCCCTCTGCCATGGCACCCACCTCTGCACCTTCCCCGGCTGCTGGCTCCCATTCCAGCCAAGCCCTCCTCTGCCCCTCGGGAAAGGGAACCTGTATTTCCAGTCCCGTAACTGCTCTTAGACCCAGCTGGGGGATTTATAGTTTATATACACTCCTTGGCCAGGAAAGTGCCCAGAGCTGGAGGCACTCGGAGCTACTGGAAGTGGCTGAACTTCCCCGCAACTTGCTGGAGAGGGGGGGCTGGAAGGAAACAGCAAAGCCTGTGGTGCTCACAGAGTCACCCAGGCAGGAAAAACACCTGGCTGAGCATCACCTCCACTTCTGGTCATTTGCTGCAGGAGAAATGAGGCAGCTGGGAGCTGGCAAAGGTCAGGAGCGTGGCTGAGCCTCCTCTGCTTGCCCAGGGCTCAGCATTCACGCAGTGCTGGCTCTGGGCTGCTTGGCCCTGGACTCCTTACACTAATTTTGTGTGTTTCCCTGCTTCCTTGGCCAGGACTAGAGAGAAAATCCCCACGGGTAATAGCCTCTTGCCTTGCCACGGCTGCTGGAGGGATGTTGGTCTTGCTGTGCGGTGAGGTCCCAAGTGCTGTGTGTGTCCTGGGCTGCCCCAGGAGAGGGGACACACACGCTGGAGCCACTTGCTGGCCCCGCGGCAGCTCCACAAATAGCTCTGGCCGGCAGCCGAGTGCTTTTCCCAGGCGCTGCTGCCATCTGCCTGACTTTTTTTGCAAGGGCCACGGGCTGTAGAGGCAGGACACAGGCTGGCTTCTGCCCAGGAGAGTGGGGCCACTCCGAAGGCAGCTTTCGGGGCACAATGCAAAGAGCTTTGCTCAGGCACCGTGGCTTTTGTGACACAAAGCCTCATCCACCCTCCATCCCCTCCAGCAGCCTGCAGCACGCCTGCCCCCAGCTTGCTGGCAAGCACACAGCCAAACCGAGCCCCTCATCCAGCAGCACCAAAGCAAGTTCTCCCAATTCTTTGTGTTTAGCACCACTTAGAATCGTAGATTATGATTACCCAAATAAAACTGCTCCTGCAGAGGGGAGCAAGGTTGCACAAGCCCAGGGACACGGGACTGGGATCTTACCGTAAACCCGATGCCCACAGTGGCGGAGAAGGAGCCAGGAATGAACTTGCCCTGGTCAAACTGGACCAGCAGAGACGTCTTCCCCACGCCGCTGTCTCCGACCAGGATTGTCTGCAAGGACCAGGTGAAGAGACATCAGTGTGTGGGAGCAGGCAATGCCCAAACCAGCAAGGACAGAGTGCAACCAGTGCCCAGGCATATGGGGAGGGGGTGCCAGGGTTTGCAGCAGTGAACATGGCAGGACATGGCTGCCTGGCCCCAGCCCATGGCAGAGCTGTGAGCTCCCTGGCACCTCCATGGCACAACTCCACTGCACAGTCCTGCTTGGCAGCAGATTGTCCCCACAGGCTGCCAGCGCCATGGCCAGATGGCTGGTCCTGCTGTGCCCTGTCCTTCGCTGTCATCTTTGGTCCTGCTCCCTGACCGAGGAGGAATTTCCACCCCTCTGACTCTCTCTGTAGTAAATGAAACACATCCCAGGCTGAGTTGTGGACCCAAGCCCTGCTGTGCCCTCTCTCAGAGCAGAGATGTGGAAGAGAAATGAAGCACAGCCCATCACAGAGAGTGAGCAGGAGAGATGCTCCTGCCCCAGCTCAGGAACTCAGCCTTAGCTCACACAGACCTGGCAGAAAACCTCTTTGGAAAGACTCTGGCAGTGCTGGATTAGGTCCAAAACCATTTAATAAAGACACTGTCTCCCGCAGCTGCTGCACACAGCCGCTGCCAGAGCCACGCAGCCTCTCTGGGGCTGTCTTTAACCTGCATTAATGCCGTGAACCCGCAGCACTCCCGCCTGGCAGGGCACTGGGTCTGAAGTCACAGAGTCCCTCTGCCCCTCCAGCCCTTTGTGGGAAGCTCCAGGGCTCTCCCACGGGCAGCAGAGCTCACTTGTCCCACAGCAGAAGAGAGGAGGTGTTGGAGCTGAGGATTATCATACCAAGCAGCTCCCAAACTGCCAGGCCCGTGGCCCCTGTACCCACTGCAGCCCCGGGGACCCCATCCTCCCTTCTGCTCCTGCCTGCGTTCCTCCAAATCCCCAGCCTGTGGGAGACCAATAGTGCAAATGCAAACCCCTCCCTCCCCTCTCTGCCGGTATCTGGGGTTTGTTGGCAGAGCCACCGACACAAACATTCCCATCCTTTCAGGAAACCAAGGCACTTTCGACCTTTTCACAGGGACACAAGTTAAAATAAACACTCCGCTAACCGGCTGCTTGCTCAGAAGTGGTTTTGGCTCTGGCTTTCAGGACATGGGTGTTCCTGGAGCTGCAGCCCTGCTGAGCACCGAACCAGCCTGGGG